CATTTCCCAACTGTTATGGCCCTCAGTTTTGCAAGTTTTGCTCTCGTGCAATGGTACACAAAATACCAAAAGATATTCATATGAAATGCGTGCCCTAGAGTAAACTTACTAATCCATTTTGATCACTTTGTTTCCCATTTGGATGGGAAACCAATCAGTAAAGGACTGCTTTTACCTGCGTTTCTATTTAAGCCCTTAAACTGACCGAAGCTCGACTTCGGAACGACCCTTGCTACTGCCTTCTTGTATTTGTTTTTGTTTTTGTTTTTTTTTTTAAGGATTGCATCCAGCGGGACCCCTTTTTACCAATGTCCGCGATGCTCGGTTCCGGCTAGATCCAAGTGATGCTAGATACGTTGATGTCATACACTCCGACGTGCCACCGAAAAGTGGTGTCTTCGGTTTCGGGATGCTTAAGGAGGCTGGCCATGCAGACTTTTTTCCAAATGTAAGCGTCAAACAGCCTGGCTGTAGACAAAGCCTCGCTAAACTGGGTATGTGACAGTTCCTTCTTCAAGAGACAACCTACAGGTTATTAATTAATGTAGATCATGGTATTTTGCTTCAAAAATTAGCTCATTATGGATTTCGGGGGTTAGTTAACGACTGGTTCAGATCTTATCTCCACGAGAGAACGAAAGTGTCGGTAGTTGGAAATAGGTAGTCTAAAAAGTCAATTATTACTTGTGGAGTTCCTCATGGTTCAGTTTTAGGACCATTACTCTCTCTCCTGTGTGTTCACGACATTTGCTGCTGCTCAAGGAAAATTAAATTTTATTTATTTGATGATGACACAAATATTCTTCATAGCCACAAAGACCTCAAAGCTCTTGAAAAAGAAATGAATGTCGAACTAAATAATGTGTACCAGTGGCTTGTATCTAACAAATTAACCCTTAATCTCGAAAAAACCAATTTCGTAACTTTTCGCCCTTACAAAAAACGCCTTCTTTTTCTTCCCCCAATATACATTAACAATAGCCAAACAAATACATTACCTCACCTGCAATGTAAAGACCATGTGAAATATCTCGGTGTCTTAATCGATTATAAACTGTCATGGAAAAAACATATTGACTCTATAATATTGAAAGTTAGCAAAACAATTGGATTCCTTTCTAAGATAAGGCATCTTGTTCCTTTCCATACTCTTCTTAGTATATACAACTGCCTTGTTGTTCCTTATTTACGATACGGTTTAATTGCATGGGGTCAAGCTGGAAAAACTAATTTAAGGAGGCTCGAAAGGGTTTTATAAAATTAACAGCAAGCGCCAATCAGTAAAAGATATCAGAACTGTCAAACTTATCATCAGGATAATAACTCGACATATGCATAACACTATGTCAGGGCAATCTTTTAAGGGGTTCGACAGGCATTATCTGTTACCATGGCAACAGTGCAGTAGTGCTAAAAGACCCTCTAAAACTCAGTTTTTGAAAGATATCTCAAAAACCAAGTCAGTGACCTAGTTTTTTTTTTTTTCAAATTTCTTAAACGTCATCACATTCTCTACCTGTATACGTGATATAAAAAAAACTACCTCGTAGAACTTGAATTATTTAGGAAAATGCTGTTTTGAAATGTAAAAAAATTTCCACTGGATAAATTTTTTTAAAATTTTCTTCAGGAATGCGTAGTGATGTAAATAATTTGTGTACAAAAAATCACGGTAGGTCCCCGAACTAATTTTGGAGGTATTAGTTCATCAACTTAACAAGGTTTATTTCCGGTTTTTGCAATTCTAGCTCACACTTTTATATCCGGTCACCCGTTTTTAACTATACCGCTGACTCACAGGTTCATTTTTGCGAGGACGAGTTCGTGTCCGCGCGATTAATCGATGGATGCCCTCAGAGCGGAAAATAATCGTTCATCCTGAAGATGGATTCACATTGTTTTGTAATTTTACACCTTCCTGAAAAATAAGTCATCATTTGAGACTCAGACTGCTTACTGTTACAACAGTTGGAAATGAACTCCGGAGAGAATTCTCTAGCGGAATTCGATTTATGATGACAAGTTGATTTTGTAGATGGCGCCAATGCCAGTACTCCATTGAGGCCGGTAATGTTGAGTTTCTCGTACACAGATTGTAGTGTAACATGAGACAAACCAGCATCTGCCAGCTTCTGGACCATGTTTGTCGAAAGATGAAGCTTTCCATCGAACGTCTGGATGGTATCTTGTCGTTGTTCCGAGAAGATGGCTTGATCGAAGGCCTCATTCAGCGATGCACATGCATTTACCATGATTGACCGATATAATTATTGTTCATGTGCAATTTGAAGTGGAGGAGTGAAAATAATTTGTAGTGAAAAGAATTTGCTTTAACGTCTTCCAGATTGTCATGAGCGTCAAACTCAGTGGAAATTAGGGTTTCGTATACGTCAGTAATTTGTTGGTCGTCGCAGATTTCGCGAATTTCTATAATTTGCGAGGTACTAGAGGTATGAACAAGACTTGGCTTCATTTTTCTTTTTTTTCTCTTTGCCACTGC